AGTTCACCCCAATATAAAAAAGATGTTGAGACTCTGGAAAGAGTGCAGAGAGGAGCAATTAGAATGATTAGGGGACTGGAGGCTAAAGCATACAAAGAACGTTACAGGAATTGGGTATGTCTAGTCTAATGCAAAGACGGACTAGGGGAGACATGATAGCAGTGTTACTTATCTGAGGTGCTCTTACAAAAACAAGGGGATAAAATTATTTTCCAAAGCACCCAAAGGCAAGGCAAGAAACAATGGATGGAAACTAACCCAAAAGAGAAGCAACCTAGCATTAAGGAGAAAATTTCTAATGGTGAGAGCAATCAACCAATGGAATAGCTTGCCTTCAGATGGTGTGAGTACTCCATCACTGGAGACTTTTAAACAGAGAGTGGACATCCATTTGTCTGAAATGATATCGGGTCTCCTGCTTGACAAGGGTGTTGGATTAGAGGGGTGTGCATAAGCGCACCAACGTGCCTACCGTCCCTGTCCTATTGTTTCTCTTATTCTTTTATTTTTCTTATATGTACCCATTTCATGTATTCACAACTATGTATACGCTTATACTTATTATCTTGTAAACAATTGGCAAATCAAATAAATAAATAAATAAATAAATAAAATAAATAGAAGACCTCCAAGGTCCCTTCCAACTCTATTATTCTAGGTTCTAAGGTGTCCAAGCCTCAGAGTGCTCCAGAAGTTTCCAAAATGTTTCTAGTGGATGGGCTTTTGACAAACAATGGAAAGATTTTCCTACAAAAGAATACATCCTAGAAAATGGACTTGTGGCCACTTTTGACAGATGATTGCTCTTGGAAATAAAGCCCTCTGTTTCAGGTGACTGCCTACTTTCTGGATTCTTTAAGTCCTGGCTCAGAACAGAACTTTTTTTTTTCTTTCTAACAGTATTGATGCCTGCAAAGTTAAGGAAGATGTAAGCTTGTCACATTCACAGACTGGGGACAAGACAAAGGCAAAATCCAATCTGCTTGGGTTACTGCCATGTGCTTTACATGGGACTTTCCTTGTAGAACACTTGGAAGCTACAACTGGTCCAGAATACGGCAACATGCAGAGTACTGGTGTTCACTTACGTTACCCCTCTCCTGTGCAAGCTCCCAGTCTCCTCCAAGGTGAGTTCAAGGTTATCACTTTTTAAACCCACATGGCATAAAGCAAGGTTATCTGTGGGACCACCTCTCCCTGAGAATATCTGCCCTTCCTACCAGATTGGAGAGGTAGGCGCATTCCAAGTCCTATTCTGAAATCATAGGGAGGAATCTTAGTAGGACATTGGAAGTATGCCTTTTATGTGTGTGGCTGCTCCTATCTTATGCAGCACCCACTTCTGGTGATCCAGCTGATCCCAACCTTCTTGACCTTTCTGAAGACCATAGAAACTACCGTGTTTCTCATATAATAAGGCCGGGTCTTATTTTTTTTTGAGCCCCGAAAAAATGGCTAGGCCGTCTCTTCGGGGGTGACTTAATTCCCTCCCCTTGCATCTTTGGGCGGGCGGCGACGGCTTGGATGTTGACCTCGGCTTTGGTGGGGCACTTCATATCGGGGTCAACGCAGGCAGCACCATATCCAGGTGTGCAACAAAAGTACTTCCTAATGGCAAGCCCCCCCCCACCATTCCCCCCATTTCGCATGTTTTAATATAGGCCTTAATTTGGGGGGAGGGGCTTAATTTCATTTCATGCCTATAAAACATGCTGGGACTTCCTATTGGGGGAGGCTGTATTGTTGGAGAAACAGGGTAGATGCTAGATAGCATGAGAATAATTGTGGCTTGTTGTGAGACATCTCAAAAAGATGATGGAGGCACCAGGTTTTTGTAGGTTTTTATGATTTTATGCTTTTGGTTTTATTCTTGTGAGCCACCCAGAGTTGTGTTTAAGATGAGCAGTCCTACAAATAAAAAAAATAATCAGGAAGATACCGAAAAAAAAATTATTATCAAGGCATGTCTGTACCATGTTAGGTAAAGGTGGGCAAAGTTCAAAGACTTATCTAAATTCTGAACTTTTTGAATCAGCTTGGCTCATTCATTTAACTGTAGCTGATCCATACTCAGAGCGACAGCAAAGCAGATAGTAAGGCAATAGTCAAAGAGAAGCCAAGGATCTGGTTCCTAGTCAGGTGATCGACTTGCTAGTGGAGAACAGCTTATTTGATTTCTTACCATTAATGGCAATAGGAAATCAGTGATCCGTTTCCCACTTTAATCCAATAGAAAAGGTGAACCTCACAGCCGTGCACATTTCGTAACTGAAGCTTTCCTTGCTTTCAAATGAGTATTAAGGCCCTCTCCTACTGAAACAGTGAATATAGTCTTATTAAAAGGCAAGAATTTTAAATGGTCTAAAAACAATTTGACCAATTCAGGAAGATTTAATAAATCTAGGACTGACCTTTTTGGGTAGTTCCACAAATTACACAGCGAAACTAAGGAAGCTTGTGTCCTACCTTGGGGTGTTAAAGATTTTCCTGTGTATTATCTTTTCCCCGTGTAGGCAGAATTATAACCTCTGAAGGCTGCTTACCTGGGGTATGACAGGTTGTGGTTAATTGTGATGTCAGGGGAACTGTCACTCGCATTCAGGTTTTGTGATTGGTTGTCCACAAGTAATAAATACAGCGTAAGGGAAATTCCATACAGTTGCTCATCTCCTGTGCTGCTTAAGCCAGCTTCAGACTGGATTGCCCCAGACTGCCAAATGAAGTTGGACTGGGATTTCAGTCCAAACTATGGCTACCATAAGACTTGATGGATCATTCCTGTGCTTCTTCCTTTTCCACCCGCGTGAGGAAAAGTAGTCTTGCTAGCAAGTTTCTGAGTGGACAGGTTTACCAAGGGCCAATTTTTCCTTTTTAGGGATTTATCTCTTCTCATTAATCCCCGTGCCTTACCTTTGCTTTTCCAGAGGTTTGCAGGCATGGATGTCTTCATTCTCTGCCCCACCAGCCCTTCCTGCCTTATCTTTTCACACTAACACAGGTCCGTTCTTTTATTTTTTTGCTTCTAGTATGGCCATTGTTCTGATGTTACCCTATCCAAAGCACTAAAGAACAAGTTATTCTCTAAATCTCACAGTCTTTTGCAGCTCCATGGAAAATTTATAGCAAGGAAAACTAGATAGTTCCACTTCATGGAAACAAACAACAAGAAGGTGTCTTTTAAAAAAAGGGGGGGGGACTCTGCTTTATTATAGGAGGTAATGGGAAAGTAAGGGTAGTATATTGCACCAGCCTGGAAAGAAACTGGAAGGGTTCTGCTACTTTCTTTAGAATTATATTTTTCTATACATATACATTATACAACAGGTTTCGGTCATTTTTTTTTCAAACTATTCATTTCTTATATTTTTAACAACTACAGCTGTTTCCACATCATCATTCCACCAAGCATAAATACACAGGTATTTGTTCTTATATTCCCAATTAACCCCACATAGAACTCTACGGTACTCTATAATTCTTTTCATTCTGTTGCAAGCAGCTTCCACATCTTCTCTTTCCTTGAATCCACTTTCAAATTAATATGCAGGGACATTAATCTGTCTTCTAATACTTTTTCATACAGGACTCCTTTCATATTTCTTGAAACTTAGGTTTTTGTTCTCATTTTACTTTCTTTTTCTTGCATGTCAATTTCCCCCCAAAATGTATGCATATATGTATTGTGTATTTGTATAATATGTGTGCAAATACACACACACACACATATATATATATGTATACATTATATATTATACACACACATACAGTATATATATTTAGACATATGTGTGTGTGTATCATACAATAAAATTATTTTTGTTCTTTTATTTCATTTGTTAAATCTTTACCATTTATTCCTCTTACATTCCAGATTGCAATCTTCCAAATGCCATGATTGACACCAATAGGGTCCATAAGATACTGATTTCTGCCACATATCATAGCTTTAATCAATCAACACTTTCATATAACAGTATTAATAATAAAGCGTAAACTAAATTAGCAAGCTTAATTATGCCCATGCCACACGCAGCATTTCCTGCTTGTGAAGATGGCAATCCTGGTCAGTTTGGCATATTTTGGCAAGTATGCCCCAAGCACATTACTCCCAGTTTTATCCCAAGCATCCTCACACTATTCAATGCAACCATAATCTTTAATCTAGAACAGTGGCTCCCAACCTTTTGGGCACCAGAGACGAGTTCTGTAGAGGGCAGTTTTTCCTCAGACCAGGGCTGTGTGGTTTCATGAGCTGCATGGATCCCATATGTGCACAGATGGGGCTTTTCTTGGGTTTTGGCCTAGATAGTTCCTGGCAGGCCGCAGATCGGTGCTGTTCCACAATCCTGGGGTTGGGGACCCTGATCTAGAGATTTACCTTACAAGCTTTATAATATAAAGCTTTATAATATAATTATTCATAGTATGTGAAGCTTCCCACTCAAATATCATGATTACATTCTTTTTTTCTTCTGAAAAGCATAGGTATCTCTTCCAACACGGACTAAATAAGAATACTGAAAACAGAACCACTGTTCCCAACCTTTATTAAACAGCCCATTGCCCTTTGCTTGTCTCCTTCCTAATGGATCCCATAATTTTATGTTCTCCCTACACTGGTAGCTAAGTAAACTTAGAGGAACTTGATTTTGCCCAAGAATCTTCATCAGCCATAGTGGAGTTGATTTGTTACATGTGAGGGTGATCCTGTTCTCTTTGGCAAAGAACTCTTTTCTCTGATTAAGAGTTTCGTTAATCCTTAAGTATTCTCCTCCTCCTCCTCTTCTTCTTCTTCTTCTTCCCGCTCTTTTAAGAAGCATCTTCTTGCAAGCCAGTCTCCCCCAGCACACTGGTGCCTAATTTCACCTAGGGTCCACATGGTATCTACTGGTTGATTAGTTCTTCTCATCTGGGTCTTCGTAGTATTCACATCAGGTGCACGATATGTTCCTCCTGACTTACCGCCAGTATACGAGATCTGATTTATATGCAGTTTACTGCTAGAATTCATCAATATGGGATTCATCGTCCTCAGACTCATCGTCTTGGTGAGACTCGCTGTCTGTGTGAGAATTACTGTCCTCTTCAGGAGATTCTCCTCCTACTGTGTTGTTTATATTTTTAATAGGGAAGATGCGCCTCACCTTAAGTACTTTGCGGTTAGGATTAGAGTCATATTCATCGTAAGTAAACTGAGGTAAAGACCTGAACCTGGTGGGCTTACTACGAATAAAATGGCCTCCTATTTCCCTAGTGGGTCTTCTGTCAGCTGGTACACCTGCAAAAAGGATGGAAGTTATGATGTTAGCATTCAAGTTCATGCCCTCCTCTAGAAACAAATGCTCCGTTTTTTTTAATGTCAACTGGAACACAGTTACTTGCCTTGCCCTGAGTCAGACTACTGAATCTTCTGGCATAAAACAGTCGCCCCTTCCAAAAACTCATATTTTTACTAGGAATGCCAGGAATCAAAACCCCCAAGGCAGGTTTGCTGCATTAGAGAGCATGTGGCTTATTATGGCACAAAGAAGAGGGAGCCAAGCTATTCTCCAAAGCACCTGAAGGCAGGACGAGAAGCAATGGGAGAAAACTAATCAAGGAGAGAAGCAACCTAGAACTAAGGAGATATTTCCTATATTTGTATTTGTTAGTACAATTAATCAGTGGAACAATTTGCCTCCAGAAGTTGTGAGTGTTCCAACACTGGAAGTTTTTACAAAGAGATTTGACAACCATTTTTCTGAAATGGTATAGGGTTCCTGCCTGAGCAGGGGGTTGGACTAGAAGGCCTCTGAGGTCCCTTCCAATTTTGTTATTCAGTTATAGCCACCATTACTGGTTTTAGCCGTTATTTAGATATATTTATCTTTAATCATGGCATCATTGTCCTTTTTTTTTAACCTGGCAGTTCCCAAGTTAAAGAGAAAAATAAGTCTTTATTTTTTTTTAACATTGTAGTCCACTATCTTAGGAGAAATCTTCTCTGATTCAGGAATACATTTATGAATATTTACTCCAAGTAAACAAAAAAACCCAAGCAGCTCAATTAAATAATCTTTGTGCTAAAACACTTTAGAGTATTTTACACTGGGCCAATCCTACATTTTGGATTTTCTGTGTCAGAACTTCTTTTTTTTTAGCCCATTCACATGTATTACACTCATGCTTTTAAGGTAACATATTTCTTATACACTAAATAAAAATAATATATCAGGTGTTTGTCCATGTTTGTCCATTGAGAACATAGCTCAATGAAAGCACATTAGCTTCCACCTTCAACCTCTCCAAGTTGAAATCCAGAATTTTGGCAATCTGCTGTGAATTGATGCAAAAATGAGCTGAATGGAACCAATGGTAGAATTTCATGGAACACAGTATCCTTTATTTCCTAAATGTTGCACAGTGTGCAAGCAGTAAATATGTGGGGACATCTTCTGAGTGTTGATAAGTTTAACCAACAGAAGCAGAATTTCAAAACTGTATCTGAAATAAACTCCACTCAAAGCAGCAGCAGTTCTTTCCAAACTGCATAAAAATTTCAATCTGATTGGGCTACAATATAGTTCCTTTCATAACTCCCGCTGGAACAAAGCAAGATTCTATGTTTCAGTTTCTTACCATTAACAACAACAGATTTAAGTTCTCCATTTTCTTCAACTTCCACTCGGTCCTGTCCGTCCTCAATAATTCTGGGAAATAAATAATACATTTCAGAGATGAAACTCACTTTCTAGCTTTTATTTAAGAGGTTGGAGTCGGGGATTTTCCTACTGCACCCCAAGTCTGCTGGCTTGTGGCAGCCATGACAGAAAGTTTGGGGGAAATGGTTTTTACCAGGTTTTTCTGGTCACATGATCAAATCATTTATAACCACTGCGCACTACTGAAAGGTATTTGGGGAAAAGGAATAGTTATGGTACAGTTGGAGCTTCCGGTTGGTTCTTGGAAAAATCCCTTCCTTACCTTTTGGTCGTGATTTGCTTGCCATTGAAGAAGTTAGTTGAGGAAGAATAAAAACTGAATCCTTTTCCTCCAACGCAGCCAGTGAAAGCCATAGGATTTCCTAAAAAATAAATTAGCAAATTTAGGTCTTGGATATTTGACTTGTGAGAGAGAGAGAGAGAGGGAGGGAGGGAGAGAAGAAGGAGGAAGGGAAGGACCAAATTATTTTGGCATCTCAAGCAGAAAAGCCTACTGAGATGTACTTTATAGCAATAAAATATGATGGATCAGAGGTTCTAGCTGTCTTCTAGAGTGGTAGGCTTCAATGTGATATCGCCTGCCATACTAAGCAGATAGGTTGATATATCTACTATGAAAGCCATAATGTGGTTGGTTGATTGGGCTTTATACAGTATAAAGTTTTATTAACTGTTCTGTTTGGAATCTGATACTTACGGATTACATGTCAACCCAGCCAATTGTGGCTTAGTCAAAAAAATCTTGGTTTAATAAATAAATGTTTATGTCAGCTGTGAAACCAACTGCTCTTTGGAAAGCAGTAGTTGGAATAGTGCAGACCCACAGTAGAGCAGCAGGCAGCAGAAATTTACATCAACATATTCAGTAGGGATTTGTCATTCCCCTTCAACGAATAGTCGATTTGACCCATGGATGTTTTGGCAATTCCAATTCAGTTTGTTGTGGTCCTTTTTTTTTTTTTTTTTGAAGAATTCGATTCTATCAAATCCATCTTTTTGTGGGATTGCACAGCCACCACAGAAATTTAAGAAAGACACTTCTTTTTTTAAAAAAAAAAAAAAATTTATTACCAACAATAAGAAGAGTTCCCATGCCAATTCCAAGTTACTTTTCCCACTTTGAATCTAAATTGCAGCACATTCTTGTTTCTGGGATATTGTGGAACAAGCAGATTACAAGTAGTCTTCAATTTACAACAATTCATTTAGTGACCGTTCAAAGTTACGTTTTCAAAGTTACTGAAAAAAAGCGACTTGTGACTATTTTTCACGTGACCGTTGCAGCATCCTCATGGGCAACATTCAGACCTTTGGCAATTGACCCATATTTATGACAGCTGCAGTGTCCTAGAGTCACGTGCAGAGGTGGTATTCAGCAGGTTCTGACCAGTTCTGGAGAACCAGTAGTGGAAATTTTGAGTACTTCGAAATACCACTTCTGACTGGCCCCGCCCCCATCTCTTCTCTGCCTCCCAAGTCCCAGCTGATTGGCTGGGTCTTCTTTTCTTGCCCTGCACAGGAGAATGGAGCTGGAAAGCAGGTTAGTGGGGTGGGGAGGGAATGGGGGTTGCACTGAAGATCTAGGCCTGTTTTTCCATCATAATAGAATGCAAAACATGGAATAATTAATTTTAATTACAGGAGGGCAAATATCAAATGAATCACAGAAAAAAAATTCTAACCCTGCAGTTTTATAGTGAAACTATCAAAATTGGTACAAGTGAATACCAATACTGAGTACTGAAAATTGTTGGGTTCCTATTCACTGGGGGTGAATAGGAAAAGCCCAGCTGTTGCGATACTTTAATGTGGATTTCTTCACTGAGCAGGGAACTGGATTTGATGGCTTAAAAATACCTCTTTCAATTTTACAAGTTTGTGCTTAAATTCATAAAAGATTCAAATTGCTTATCTTTTGCCAATCAATACGAGAACTATTTAATTAATTAAAACTATTTTTATTCTGCAAATTAATCTAGTATTCAGTATAGCTCACACATTTCTGGTTAATGAATCTAAAGCTAATCTAAAGCTAGTAAATATTGCTGCCTCTTATATTCAACTTAATCTACTGCAACTTCAAACCAAGAGCTCAACGAATTCTTTATAAATGAGCTCAGAGGTGGTATTCAGCAGGTTCTGACCAGTTCTGGAGAACCGGTAGTAGAAATTTTGAGTAGTTCGGAGAACCGACAAATCCCACCTCTGACTGTCCCCGCTCCCATCTATCCTCGGCCTCCTGCCTCCCAGCTGATCGGCTGGGTCTTCTTTAGTTGCCCTGCACAGGAGAATGGAGCTGGAAAGCAGGTTAGTGGGGTAGGGAGGGAATGGAGATTTTACAGTCTCCTTCCCCTGCCATGCCCACCAAGCCACACCCACAGAACCAGTAGTAAAAAATTTGAATCCCACCACATGTGATCCAGTGGTGGGATTCAATTTTTTTTAATACCAGTTCTGTGGGCGTGGCTTGGTGGGCGTGACAGGGGAAGGATACTGTAAAATCTCCAGTCAGAGGTGGCATTTGCCAGTTCTCCGAAATACTCAAAATTTCCGCTACCGGTTCTCCAGAGCTGGTCAGAACCTGCTGAATACCCACCTCTGACGTGATCCCCTTTTGCAACTTTCTAACAAACAAAGTCAATGGGGAAGCCAGATTCAGTTAACAACCATGTTACTAACTTAACAACTACAGTGATTGACGTAACAACGGTGGCAAGAAAGGCCATAAAGTGGGACAGAACTCACTGGAACAACTGTCTTGTCAGAACTTTTTGGCTCAGTTGTGGCTGTAACTCAAGGACTCCCTATATATAAATTAGTACAAATAGATAAGATGGCTTTGAGTTTCTCTGAATAATAAACAGGATTACTACTTACCAAAAAAAGGGTCCCTTCCCCCAAAAAAATCCCGAAAGACATCATGGGCACTGCGGAAATGGAACATATATTCAGAACCAATATTGCTCCCAGCAGATCCTCCTGGTTTACCTGAAAGATGTTAGAGAATGGAAAAAATCAGGGCTGTGGACACTTCAAAGCATAATTCAGGGTGCTTCTCTGCTGTTCATTAAAGCCACCTTACTTTTTCTGCACAAACTTTGCAAAAAGGATGATGGTGCTTGAAGTCTCACAAGGACCCGAGTAAAAAGGTGCCCTGATTTAATGAACAGCAGAGAACTGCCCATTTGTGTGAGTTTGTGGTACACATTCCGAAATGTGTTTGAAACATGTTCCATCCCTGAAAAGATATTCAGAATAATTAAATTTAGAAATATTAGTTATGTTACGTTTAACTTAAAATAAGAGATTACCTGGTTAAATATTTCTGTCTATACTGAGGAAAATTGGAGGCATTCTCCCCCCCCCCCCCCATAATTTTTTACCTTTTCCCCTCTTGAACTTCCTCCCCCCCCTTTTTTGTAGTTATTTTGTGTTGTGAATCAATAAAAGTTACTAGCATAAATGCAAATCAGGGTTTGGAAACCTGCACACCTGATTGGTCCTTATACAACAACTAGGGATTGGTCCATAACTAGTCCCTGATTGGCCACTATTCTGACACTTCTCATTGGTTATTAGTTTGAACTTGTTGCACTTGTCATTGGTTAATAAGGTAGCAGCTAACCCTATAAAAGGGTTGCTGCTGCCCATAGCCTTGCTCTGTTCTGTTCTGGTTATTATTATTAAAGAGTTGAAGTCACTGGTCAGATGTCTGGTCTCCATTATTCTCCAAACTTAACACTGGCGACGAAGGTGGGATGCGGAGACCGAAGAACTGACTAACCTACAGAGCAACCAACAGAGCACGTGGTCGAACACGCACCATCAAAGGCAACATGGCCAGCGGTGCCGTACCACCCGCTCCATTCAACCCAGAAACCGAAGACTGGGAATCATACATGGATAGGTTCCAGATGTTTCTGGAGACCAACAATTTGAAAGATGCAACAACCGGCAAAAAAAGAGCTATCTTTCTAACTCACTGCGGGCCTACCGTGTTTAAAATGGCAAAATCGCTTGCCAAGCCAGCCGAAGTAAAAGCGATGGACTGGGACGTCCTCGAGCCTTTGCTACGGGCTCACTACGCGCCTACCGTGCCAACCTTAGTCAGAAGACACGAATATTACCAGAGGGACCAACGGAAGGGCGAAAGCCTTGCCAATTACATCGCGGACCTCCGCAACCTTGGAGGCCTCTGCGGATTCTCCGACTTAGAAGAAGCCCTCCGGGACCGCCTGGTTCTGGGCCTAGAAGACGGCACGATCCAGAGCAAAATTATGGCTAAGGGGGACATCAGCCTCACCGATGCCCTTAAAGAAGCCATGGCAGCGGAGGCGACCAAGAAATCGGCAGCCCGAATGCGCCGCACCAACGCACCGCTACGTCAACTCGCCAAAGATACCTCGCCTCGCTCAGAGAGACACCCGGTATCGACTCACCACGAAGACCTAGAATCCCCATCAGAAAGCGATGAGGAAGAGGTCAACCGACTCCGAACGGAACGAGACCAGTTCATACAACCCTCATCCCGACCGTGTGCAGGATGTGGGGCGAATCACCCACGATCCAGCTGCAAATTCCTTGACGCACTCTGCCGCATTTGCGTGAAACGAGGTCACATCGCAAAGGTTTGCAGAAGCAAACAAAACTCCAAACCCCGACAGGCCGAATGCCAGTCTTCCGGATTCTTCGGCACACACCGAAAAAAACTGAACCACCAATGGGGAAACCACTCCTACAGAAACAAACCGTCCACCACTTCCACCAGGCGTGAAGAAACCAGGCGGGAAGAGACCCACCAAACAATCACCATAGGCCACGCTACATCCCTTGATGCCGGAAAAATCCGAGTAAAGGTCGCCATCGAAAACAAACCTTGTGTGATGGAGGTGGACTCGGGATCTTCCCTCTCGATGGTGTCGTGGAAAACGCTCCAACAGCTCATTCCAACGATTCGCCGCCAAGACCTTAACCCTCAAAGGGTTATACTTAAAGACTATCAGGGTAACCGAATTCCCGTCGTCGGGTCCCACAGATTCCAGGTCTCTTTCAAGGACCGCACCGTCGCACTACCACTGACTGTCGTGGACCGCGACAGGCCTAGTCTTTTAGGCCTTCAATGGTTCAGGCCGCTCGAAATCACTGTAGCCGGAGTCCACCGGGCCGAGAGCAGCGATTGGGAGGAAGCACTCGTGCAAGAATTCCAAGACGTTTTCGCGAACGGACTAGGCAAGTACAAGGGGACCCCGATCTCGTTTAACTTGAACCCTGAGGTAGCACCCATCCGCCTTAAGCCGCGTCGGGTGCCGTTCGCCTTGAAGCCTAAAATCGACGAACAACTCGATAAGCTAATAGCGCAGGGCATGCTGGAGCCCACCGACCACGCCCGCTGGGAAACCCCTATAGTGATGCCTATCAAGCCTGATGGGTCACTAAGAATTTGCGGAAACTACCGGGCCACCTTAAACCACGCACTGCAGCAAAGTGCATATCCAGTGCCGGTAGTGCAACACTTGCTCCATTCCCTGGGTGGCGGGAAAGTTTTCGCTAAACTAGATCTAGCCCAGGCGTATCAACAATTGCCTGTAGATCCGACCACGGCAGAGGCGCAAACTATCGTAACGCATAGGGGCGCATTTAAATGCAACCGGCTCCAGTTCGGGGTAAGCGTTGCCCCCGGAATCTTTCAGAGCTTAATGGAAAGGTTGTTACAAGGGATAAGAGGGGTCGTACCATATTTCGACGATGTACTCATCGCCGCCCCTAACAAAGACATTCTAGAAAAACGACTCAGAGAGGTTTTACGAAGATTCCAAAACGCAGGCCTCAGAGTTAAAAAAGATAAATGCCAGTTATGTACCGAAAAAGTAGAATTTTTGGGATACCTCCTGGACAGCCAAGGAATCCATCCCACCGAAGACAAATTAAGGGCGATTAAAAAGGCCCCCACTTCAAGGAACAAGGCAGACCTACAGGCGTTCCTTGGACTTATCAATTTCTATAATGTCTTTTTACCCCACAAAGCAACGGTAGCTGAACCATTGCATAGACTATTAGACAAAAAAGCAACGTGGGTTTGGGGACAACGGGAACAATATGCTTTCCAACAAGTAAAGAAATTGCTAACTTCTGATTCTGTACTTATGCAGTACAACGAGACTCTTCCGCTCACTATCACGTGTGACGCATCACCTTTTGGGGTTGGGGCAATTCTGGCCCACGTATTACCAAATGGAGCGGAAGCCCCCATCGCGTTTTTTTCGCGAACCTTAGCTAAAGCTGAAAAAAAATATAGTCAGCTGGACAAGGAAGCTTTAGCTATTGTGGCTGCAGTTAAAAGATTTCATGAATATGTTTATGGCCGTGCGTTTACGATAATTACTGATCATAAACCACTACTGGGGATCATTGCGGGTAATAAACCAACCCCGTACATATTGTCCCCCAGAATGACCCGTTGGTCTGAATTCTTGGCGGCCTACAACTACACCTTGCAACATCGCCCAGGGAAATCAATTCTCCACGCTGATGCATTGAGCAGAACGCCGCTCCCAGACTCTGTTGTAGATCCAGCCCCAACCATCTCAACACTACAGATCGAAGCTCTACATGTACCACCATTGATGGCTAGAGACATTGCCTTTGAAACAAAACGTGACCCAGTTCTGCAACACATCCTACGCTGGGTTGAACGGGGGTGGCCGACAGACCAAATAGCACCGGAATGGGCGCCTTTCAAAGCCCGCCAAACCGAACTGTTTTCCCAAAAAGGCTGTATCTTGTGGGGCGATCGAGTCGTAATCCCTGGCAAATTGCAACAAACTGTTTTGGCGGTATTGCATGAAGGACATCCGGGTATCGTGCGGATGAAAGCACTCGCACGCAGCTATGCTTGGTGGCCGGGAATCGACAAAAGAATCGAGGCCTGGGTCGCTACTTGTCAACGTTGCCAGGACGTCAGCAACGCCCCACCTAAAGCAAGCCCAACCGAATGGGAAACTCTGAGGGGACCTTGGTCCCGTATTCATATTGACTTTGCGGGACCTACCAAAGGACACACTTTCCTTATTACTGTCGACGCCTATTCAAATTGGCTCGAGATCCATCGAATGAACACAACTACAACGGACTCAGTTATCAATAAATTAAACAGACTCTTTGCCACACACGGGTTTCCGGACGTGTTGGTCTCGGACAACGGCCCACAGTTTACTGCATTACCCTTTGAACAATATCTTGCTGATCGGGGCATCTGCCATGCGCTAACCTCACCCGCGCACCCTGCGGCGAATGGACGTGCAGAACGCATGGTACAATTTGTAAAAAAGACCCTTCACAAAATGGAATTTGGCAACATCGACGAGAAAATCAATCAAATTCTCTTGTTGCAGCACATCACGCCCCACAGCGTGACCAACAAAACGCCCGCTGAACTTCTTATGGGGCGGAAACTACGATCGCACCTTGACCGGCTCCACCCCGCATTCGCACCGGAAAAGCCCTTCGGCTCCAGCAGCAAATGCCGGGAATTTAAGGTAGGCGATTTAATCTTTGCCAAAAACTTTTCCGGTGACCCGTTATGGATACCCGCAACCGTTACCCACCTTACCGGGCCTAGATCTTACCGCCTGCTAACAGACGATGGGAGGGTGTGGAAACGCCACATAGACCAACTCCGATCGAGATTACCACCCAGCGCCCATGACTCCCCGGGTTCACCAACTCAAGGGGGAGGAAATATCGAGGAAATTGACTTTGATATGACAAATAGCAGGCCAACGGAAACCCTACGGCCCAGCGGAACACCGGAACTTCAAGCGGGGAGGGAGTTGACTTTTTCAGGGAACTTTAATACGGGGGAAACCGAACCGCAAAACCCCGAAGAAACACGGAGTAGCGGACACAACCACAGTGAAAGCAGCACGGAATCACCGTGCAGCGAAACAGAATTTAATAAAGATCATCCAAACGCTCCACCGGAACCGGACCTTAGACCAAAACCGGTGGAGCCACGGAAATCATCCAGACAGACCAAACGGCCTGTCTATCTTGAGGATTTTATTACAGCTCCCCTCAAACGGAACCCAAGGGGGAGGGGTGTTGTGAATCAATAATAGTTACTAGCATAAATGCAAATCAGGGTTTGGAAACCTGCACACCTGATTGGTCCTTATACAACAACTAGGGATTGGTCCATAACTAGTCCCTGATTGGCCACTATTTTGACACTTCTCATTGGTTATTAGTTTGAACTTGTTGCACTTGTCATTGGTTAATAAGGTAGCAGCTAACCCTATAAAAGGGTTGCTGCTGCCCATAGCCTTGCTCTGTTCTGTTCTGGTTATTATTATTAAAGAGTTGAAGTCACTGGTCAGATGTCTGGTCTCCATTATTCTCCAAACTTAACATTTTGTACTTAACATTTTCTGACGTTTAATAAAATTGTATTAAAAAAGATGTTTAGAATATAAGAAGTGATGGCTATGGAATACAAGACAGGGACAGGTCTCTTTTTAAAAAAACCTAAGTTCTGAATATTAATAATTGACCCAGGCCAGATCCGTACTAGAGCATCTGTTTCTTGAAATACTTTTTAAAAGGCATTTCTTCCCGGGTTTTTCATATCATATCACTCCAGAATCAACTCCAGACTTCTGTGTTGGGTAACTCTGGCAGTTTAAATTGTTTATCTTTGGTTCAGCTGCAGTGTATTCCAACACTTTTTAAAAAAACAACAACAATCTTTCTGTCTGCATAATTGAAACTCTGTGGAGTTCACAGTTGGTGCTTTGTGGTTTCCCCCACCCTCTTTGGACTGTGGATCCCTTACATCTCTAACAGATGTCTGCCCTTAAGATCATTATTTCCGTGCCCTTCTCAAGTTCATGTCTTCTGGGCACTGCTAAGGTTGAGAAAGAAATGCATCTCCAGTTGTGTTGTCTTCTACAATTGTGATTGCATTTGCTTTCTTTGCAATGTAACTTACCTCTTCCTATGAGTCCATCCTTACCATACACGTCATAGACATCACGTTTGTTCTCTGTAAGAAGGAAGGCATGGTTAGCATACAAACTAAGCTAGATTGTTGAACTGGGTTTACATAATATGTGAAACATTGACTGTGGTTTACAAATAATCCTAGCCAGATATTTGCTCTGTGCTAAATTAAATTCATCTTTATTATAGCTTATTGTGCAGCCATGTTGAAAAGTAGGACCTTATCTAGCTGTCCATCTGTTTTTAGAAACACTGTTTTTATTGACTTGCTTAGTTTCACAGTCTCATCTAGTCACCATATCTATGTGGAATAGTAAATGAATGCAGAAAGACCTGGCTTGGCCTTTCTGTCAGTACTCCACCATCCTCAGCTAAACTTGAGAATTGATAAATACCATAAGAACCAACGTAAGTAAAGCATACAAGAATGAATGTGCAATATTTTATAGTCACCGCCTGCATGCTGAGCTCAGAGACTTAATCTTAAGGAAAAATAAGGAAGCTGATCAAATGGAATTCACTATGGGGATCAGTTAAATGACTGACCTCCAGAATATGGGTAAATGGCACCAGCTTCTATGAAATGAACATGCATTGAAAGATGTAAAATAAATGATAGGATTAGCTACCATTGGCTTCCCACATATAAAGAAGATAGAGACTAATATGCCAAATGGATGGAATCTAAGGAAGAAGCTGAAAATGTCGCTGCTTAAATTCCAGGTAGGAAAGACAGAAGGCCATGTGATTATATGCATTTGGAAAAATCTCCTATGCATTAAGGACTTCCAAGGACTTATGCAAGTGTATTAAGGAGAAACAGGGATAATATCAAAGATGAACTAATGGCTTTTCAAATTGTGTCCTACAAAAGGTTCCATAAGAACTTGATGGGGTACATGAGAGAGAAAGGAACAACAAAATTCACAAATTTTCAAATAAAGTTTTATTAAGTTTCATTATGAGGTAAAAATACAGAAGGAGCAAAAGTTAGAAAAATAGAAAGAAAAGTAATGACTTCCAACTTTCTTTGGTGCACTGCAGTAGAATGCAAAAAGAATACAGCCTCCATCTTTTACTTCACATTTCATAACACTTCAAGCTATTTCTATATTTATGAAATAATTCTAATTATCCAAACCTAAAATCAAAGTTTCATTTTTTCTAGTTTTGAGCAGAAAGTCTAGAAGCAATTTGCAAGTAGAATTTTTTTTTTTCTTTAACTAAAACAAACTACCTTTTCCATTCATTCTTCCATTGTAGGTATTATTTATCTTTGTGCATATAACATTCTCGCTGCAAAATTTCATCATTTTTCATTACTAAAGGTCTGTCTCTTGATCAAAACTTTTTTAAATAAAATTTTTTTAAGAACCTCAAGTCTATGCAACAAATATCAAATTGTACCTCCCACTGCTGATACTGACTGAATTTATCTTCCAGATTTCAGTGGGAGAAAATTAACTCTTCTTTAAGGATTCAAGGCACTAGTACTACAAGAAATAAAGTTTAGAGTTCAAATTGATGCACCTACTTACAGGCAACTATGTCAGTATGTCACAATGCCCCCCTCTATTGTTCTGACAAATACATTAAAGGCACTAAATGAATTTGGTTGAGCAGTGCTAACATGCCAAACATTGGTTTTTGGAAGAAAAAAAAGGGGGAGACAAATATACAAGAGGCATTGTTTCAATCATGAAAAGAGAGCTTGAACACTTACTGTCTGAAAGTACTTCATATGCTTCTGAAATTTCTTTGAATCTCTGTTCTGCATATTGTTTGTTTTCTGGGTTTTTATCTGGGTGCCACCTAAGAGCTTTCTTCCTGTACCTTTAATGTACATACACACACAGAGGTACAGATACAAAATGAGTTACCATCTATATATCTATATCTATATCTATATCTATATCTATATCTATATCTATATCTATATCTATATCTA